AGAAAATAGAACAAAAAATTTGAAACTCATTCGGCTCAAAACGTTGACATGATGGTCTTAAAATGCACCATAAGAAAAATCTAAACAAATGGGAAAGACAGTTTAGTTCGTGGATAAAATATTGTACAATGGCGTAATATAGGAGAAAAACTTTATTATATTTATACACAAAAACGCATATGGGATTTATAGATGAAGTAAGTTATGTAAAACTGGAACAATACCTTCGAGAAAATTATTCTAGACATAATCAAACATATCACTACTGAACATTATTTTGATCAAAACAATCATTCAACCAAATCAATTAACCTTGAATTATCAACAATTCTTGAGATCAATAGAAGAGTATCAAGAAAAATTCGATTAACAGGGAAGAGAAGGTAGGCAAATGGTTGAAAAATGTATCATTACTGAAAGCTTATCAACACAACGATGCAATGATTAATGAATAAAGCTTATGGACAGTCATTTTAGCTTTCATACGTAAGACCCAACATAAATTAACTTAAAATACGAACGTTGAAAAGCTATTAAAAAAATAATGCTATAGATAATCATTCAGTGAATGCATATTATGATCATTAACCGACACAAAAAGAAATTATCTCAATGCAAAATATCTGGCAAGCAACTATGAACTGCAACAACATATCTACGTAAAATGATTATTTAAATCATCCGATTATCTAGATCAATCATTGGCCAAAGCTGAATATGAACTGTTACTATCTATTTATAAAGATAGAATACAAACAACATTGCTATCATATTGGAAGACGTTGATCGTACAAAATGAATGTCTTATTTGTGACATTCTATATTAGTATGACTGAAGTAGCTGTTTATAGTGATCATTAGTTTATTATCAATGCTAAAACTCCTTGAGAATTGTTCCTTGCGAAAGATTGAAATTAGAGTCGCAGTATTTCTTAAACATAATACTGCCTGTATAGTCGCTCTGTTTTGTTCAAGTTATAGTCATATTTAGCTTGCATGATGTCCATGTTCTTCTATAAATCTCAAGTTTGTTTATAATAATTCACAACTCAATTTTTTTCTTTCAGATATAACATTTATAATGAGTGACAAAACTCATTCGAAAGATATAACATTACAGACACCAGGAAAAAATGTTCAACATGGCGAAGTTGAATTACCTTCGTCAATACAAGTGGTAGTACCTGAACAATTGCAGGGACAAGAGAATAAAATTAAAAAAAAATGTCGTGGTAACCGAAAAAGACAACGTTATCGACGGCAACTGTATAATAAAGGTTTAGATCCAGCTGAGGTGGCAAAGTTAGTTGAGGAAAAATTTCCTTCTGAAATACAACAACACCAACAAGAAAATAAAAAGACACTCGAAGAACATGATCTAAAAAATATTGAAGTCTCTATCTCATCAAACCAAGTATGTTTTCAGTTTTAATTCCTTCATTGATATAAGAGTTCTTGACTATCTTTTATTCAGACTGCAAAGTCACAAAGAAACAACGTTAATAATAATGCTGCTATAGAAATGGGGACAAAACGAAAGAGAATTTTGTTAACACCAACACCAACAACAGAAACAATATCCATACTTGATAAACCATTAAGTCAATTATCAATATCACAAGGTGGTGCTAAAAGGACTAAAACAACTACAGCAGCTGAAACAACATCGATACCTGATAAATCTTTTAGTCAATTATCCATATCACACGAAGATGTTAAGAACACTAAAGTAACAACCGCAGATAATCAAGTCCACAAGGAACATAACAAGTCATCACAGAATTATTTAGAAAATTTTAAGCCACGTTATTTAAAAGTATCTGATCGAATATTTAAACAAATGTTATCCGATGTTATTGAAAATGGTTCCAAATTAATTGAATCTTTAAATACTTCTGAAAAACTTCATGCTGTTCGTGAAATAACTGAAGTAACAAATAATTTATATTTTAAAGATTTTCAAGAAAAACTATGGCAAGAATATTATAAAATAAGTTCTCAAGACAATAATTGGGAATCCAAAATAACTAAACACTTTGCTCGTCAACACAATACATGTCAAATGTATAGACCAAAAATATCTTATATTCAAGAACGTCTAGCAACACTTTCGAAACAAAAAGAACGAATAGCAAAACAGTTAGATGAATATTTAAAAAAACTATTGCATGATGTACAAGAATGGCAGCCATCCATTGATGGAAATTTATTATCACATACCATTAATGAATGTATTCTACATAGTTAAAAACGATTAAAAGACGAATTTCAATATAAAAAAGAAATGTTAATATCAGATTTGACTGATCATCAATTACTTAGAAAATTTTATGAATTAGAACCTAATGAAGAACTCATTCAATTGGCTCAACAAATTTGGCAAATAACAGCTGATGAACAGAAAACAAAAGAACAACAAGAAATACTTCGACAACGTATTTATTTAAAACGATTACCACCAAAAACAGATCAAACGATAAATCAATTACTTGATGATAGTCGAATAACACTTTCCAATCCTTTTCTTGATCAAGATCAACGTGCTAGTTTTGTATCACGTTGTTCAAAAACAATCATACAATGTAAGTTTAATTTAATGATTGTAGAATTGGACGAATTTGCAATTGTTACACATCGTTACGATCTGACATTAACTAAATTAAAAGAAAAATTATTAAATCTTAATAAGGAAAATCCACTTGTTTATAAAACTGAATTGAAAGATATCATTGAAGAACGTCGACAAGCCATGATACAACGATTTATTCGAATGCGTCAACATAAATTGAAGACTTTTTTCGACCAAGCTCCGACGGTGGACACCAACTAATGAAACAAAATCACCGTCGGAGCGAACCATTTATTTATACAAAAATAAGTAGTTCATTACCATTTATTGAAACGAACATAAATTTAGGTGTACAACTAATATCTATCTTAATCAATGGTCGTAAATATGTTATACCATGTCAAAGTTACTTTTCTCGTCAAGCAAGAGACAAAATGGCGCAAAATGAATATGAGAGAGTATCGAATATTGTTAAAAAAAGTATTGATAGTAACCAAATGTCAAAAACGGATGAACGAGCAAAACAAGCATTTCCAGAATTAGAACAAACTATTAATGATTTATATTCAAAACCATTATCATCAAAATTATATCGCCGTGCTCGACGTGAATATAGGAAAGTAAAACGTCTTCAAAAATTGTTACATCGTCGACCTGATATTATTGCATGTCGAATAGATAAAGGTGAAGGATTTTATTTTGGTAATAGGGCTATCATGGAATATAAAACAGAAGAATACATGAGTAAAACTGAAGCTTATCAAGAAATGATCACTGGTCGTTGTCCTCTAGCTGATATTCTACGTTCAACAGAAGCTGTACTCGATTATCTTGTTAAGAAAAAAACCATTACAAAAGCTCAACGTGATAAACTTCTACCTAAGATGAACAAACTTGAACTAGCTTATTTATACACATTACCAAAAGTACACAAGGTAATGCTATTCTTGCATCGTTACTATTTTTCTTACTTTTCTTTTATAATTTCATCTTCTTGTCTTTTTTTTTCGTTTTCTCTTTTAGGCTGGGACACCAATACGACCCATCGTTTCTGGACTACATGCTCCAGTAACATTCGTTTCAAAATTTTTGTATCATCTTCTAACACCTATCTATATGCAAGTGGCTCATGAAACTACATTTATTAATAGTATTAATCTTGTTCGTCGATTAGAAACATATGCTGCCGATGGTTATCTTAAACCTACAACAAAGTTTATTACAGCTGATGTTGAAAATCTTTATACTATGATACCAAGAGAAGGTGGCATTGATGCATTAATCAGATTTTTAAATAAATATTCTAAATACCGCAAAATAGGTCCATTTACTATTGACATGATATTAAAAATGGCCCGTCTAATTTTGAATACAAATTACTTTGCATATAAAAATAAATATTACCAACAAAAACGTGGTGGTGCAATGGGTTCAGCATTTACTCAAGTTTATGCCAATATTTATATGCTCGAATGGGAGAAAGATTTAATTGAACACCAGACATCGAAACATGAAATTTATGGACGGTTTGTTAAAAGCGTACGACATATACCATACTTATGTATTTCTCATTTTAGATACATCGATGATATTTTTATGACCATGAATGAACCATTCGATGAACTAACAAAAATACTCGACGATGTACAACAGAAAGATGTCAATATTAAAATAAAGCCTACCATTCACGAAACAGTTCATTTTCTTGATGTTACGATTAAGAATGAAAATGGTGAATTAAAAACATCTATCTATCATAAACCAACTACGGATCCATACTTTTTACCATATACATCAGATCATCCACATCGTATTCATCGCAATATACCATATACTGCATTAGTACGTGCTGCACGTCTTTGTTCAAATCTTCATGATTTTCATTTGGAACGATTACGTATTGATGTATCATTGTTATTAAATAATTATCCACCAAAAATTATAACGAATCAATTTCTTCGATTTTTTCAAGTGAATAAGGCTGATGTTCTAATCAAACGATTTGATGAACAAACTTATAAACAACTACATCGAAAACTACTGTATCAACCATCAAAACGTGAAATTGAATTGAAAGCTATAAAAAAAGATCCTGTCCTATTTCCACCGATATTACAACAAAAGCCATGGAATCCAAATGTGATGTACCTACGATACCCATTCGAAAGTGGACCCATGTCAACATTTCCTCCAAAATTCCTCACATGGTGGAAAAAACATTACCAATATCCAGGATCACCAGCAAATCGTATACAAACTCGCCTTATCCCGAAGACAAACCGATCATTACAAAACTTTTTGATCCGAAAAAAGCCTTCACGGTTAATTCTCACGAGAATGGAACCGAAAACACAATAATAGCTAATAATAAACATTCTTTTCTCATTTTTATTCTACATTTGTTCTCCTTCGTGTTTACCTAATGTAAACGTGAATATTAAATAATACATACAATGATCAATTATTCTTTATTAATATCCATATGATTAACTTTAAATAATTTTCAAACATTTTAGATATTCGAAAAATATATCACAACCACTGTACAACAAATTTATTGACCACTGCCGAAACAAACACAAAATAAACTGAAAAATAATCAAAGGTAAAATCGTTTTATCAATACATGATTTCAAATCTACCTTTAGCACAGAGACCTTACAGAGCCACGAACTATAGAAATGCATCAAACGATACTTTCCTTCTCAGTAACATATCTCATAGGATACTTTCAGACACTAAGCCACTTGATCAGAATCATTCCGCATCAGCTCAAAAGTGTCGCGGCAGCTTCTATATATCCATACACGAAGAGGATCCGTTTATTATACCTACCTATGCCTCTCTCTTTTCGGGCGATCTCTACAAATTACTTCCAAAACTGAAAATATATACATATTTCTACACACAAACCTTCCACAGCGCTCAAATCAGAACTTTATCAAAAAAACTCACAACATTGACCTGAAAAACCAAAGATATAGGATACCCTGGAAAATCCACCACAAACTAACATTTATCAACCATCACCATTTCCATCATAAACAAACCGAACAGCAAATATCCACTTCCGACTCTATCGAAAACGCACAAACGCGTCGTGTGATGCTCTCAATCTAAAAATCTTTGATAATAAAT